CCCAGCACACCCCAGAGCCCAGCCCTACCTGCTGGAAGAGCTCCTCCGCCCGCTGCTGTTGCTCTCGTCGGCCTAGGGGACCAGAAGAGAAAAGCTGGTGAGGCTCAGGAGGACGAGGCTGCTCTGCAGCCCCTCCTGCCCTGGCTGCACCCAAACCCTGGGGCTCTCCAGGAGCTCCCGAGCCCGGCTCTGAGCCCCAGCCCCAGCACGGGGGCTCCTCCCGAGCTGTCCCCTCTGTCCCTGGCCAGCCATGATCCCTGGACACCATGGCCAGGTGGGAGAGCAGGAATGGCCAAGTTGTCCAAACGGCCCCGCTCGGGGCTGGAGGGGTAGCCCAACACCTCCCCTCGTTAGCCCCGTGCCCTAATTAGCCCCGGGAGGGCCCAGGGTCTCCTCTCGCCTCCTTCCCCAGCTCGCTGATGAGAGCCTTCCTTGGAAAGACAATATTATTCCAATCCCAGAAATTTTATTTCTGAATTTGTGCAAATACAAGTTAAAAGATATTAGCTGCATTTCACATTTTGTGCAAATGGCAGAAACAGGCAATTCATGTGCAGCAGGATGGGGGCCAGCCAACGATTTTGATAAAATAAACCCTTTTTTAATTTAAATGCTAATGCACTGAATTAAAATTTAATAACTGAGGAAATTGAAAAGCCGAGCAGGAATATTGGAAATAAATCCAAGCAGAAACAGCTGAAATTAAAAATTCTAGAGAGTGGGAGGATAGCAGCTAAGCTGTCTTATATGATTACATTTTTTTTCTTTTTTTTTTCTTTTTTTTTCAGAAAGAAGGGGGGAAGGAAAAAAATCCTATCTTTGGCTGGCTGTAGGGCAGTAAATCGAGAGTGCTGTGATTTATTGCTCAATTTTCCTGAGGGAAAAAGGCTTTCTTTCATGCTGAAATATTTCATAAATTTCAAGCCAGCATAAATTCTTAATTTAAAAGTTATGGAGGTCACATTTAGTGCACTGGTGCAATTCTGAAATCTTAAAGGAATAGCAACCAAAAAAATTGCAATTTGATTTTATTTTTTTAAATTCTTATGTAAAATTTTCTTCAAAGGGATTCTCCAAGTTACAAAAAGTGGAAACACAACCTGGCTTCTGAAAGGATATGAAATCCACTGGAAATGAGGACAAAAAATCTAATTCAATTACAAAAAGGTATTTTTTTATGATGATGATGATGATTATTATTATTGTGAGCCACTTGAGGAATTTCTGTTAAAAAATTTCTTCTCTCCATTGCCTGGGAAAAGCCAGAAGGGAGGAGCTGACAATGTAATTGCTTCTGTTAGATCTCCAATCTTTTGTGAGCACTGATATGTTCATTTGTTATACAGCTGTTCAGCTACAGAAAGGATGTCAGAGCACCCATAATTCAAAGCAATCAATCAAAAATTAATGATTTGTCATGCTTACACAATGGGAAAAAAAAAGGAAAAAAAAAGGTTTATGGGTTCCTGCAACTGGTAGATTGCTCAAACCTTCGGGGCATTTTCTAGAAAATTAGATTTGTGTGTACAAAGAAAGGGGGGAAAAGGGGAAAAAGGAGACTTAATATAAATGCAGGGCAGAAACTCTGTGGGGTGCTGGGGGTTGCTGAGGCCCAAACTCCCCCGGAGATGGGAACCTCCCAGTTCCTGTATGGACAAATTCCTGTATGCTCTGTGCACAACCCAAGCTCACACAACCCAAGAGTCACATCCTGGATCACAGGGACCTTGTGAGGCTCCTGCCAGGAGAATTCCATGGGAAAATCACCTGCTGAAACATGGAACCATGGACTATCCTGAGCTGCAAGGATATTCTGACTCATGAGGATGATGGAATCCAGCCCCTGGCCCTGCACAGACACCCCAACAATCCCCAGTGCTGGGGAGTTCCCTTATTTTGAGAGAAAAAATGAGGACAGAAGGGAACCACGACAGGTAAGGGCTCTCATGTTGAAGGTTTCACACAGCCAGGGTGCTCCTGGAGAGGATCCATTCAACAAAAACACCAAGCTAAGCCTGAATGAGATCAGATCAAGCTGCCTTAAATGTTTCTGGATGCTGAAATAAACAAATCCACAGAATCACAGAATGGTTTGGAGTGGGAGGAACCTTAAAGTTCATCCCATTCCACCCCTTCCATGGCAGGGACCCCTCCCACTGTCCCAGGCTGCTCCAAGCCCCAATGTCCAACCTGGCCTTGGGCACTGCCAGGGATCCAGGGGCAGCCACAGCTGCTCTGGGCACCCTGTGCCAGGGCCTGCCCACCCTGCCAGGGAACAATTCCTGCCCAATATCCCATCCAGCCCTGCCCTC